GGAGTGCTTGAATTGCCTCCCTTTTATTCTTCCTACCGAGTGTTGAACACTCGGTGATCTCGTAAAAGGCTTACCCGTGCCTGGTACCCTTCCGCTGTTGGGACCACGAGGATTCAAAACACCTGCTAGCTTTGCTCGTGCTAGTAGCGTGCTCTTATTTTTACTGGTTGGCCTATATAAGTAGATTACAAGGTCCAGTTTGTCCCAATGCAAGGGCAGAACTGGGGTCTTCAGGTCCGCCCGAACGATCGTTTACTATCCTAGTAGACGTATTGTTGTGGGAACATCCTAACTACATTTGTAGCTAGAGTTCACGCGGGATTTCAAACACCACAACTGGTGCCGCGACCCGGGAACAGATTGTGACCATTGTGAACTGTTTGTATGGCCTTCCAGTTTACGATCTACCAAGAGAAGAAGAACAAGAAAAAGACAAGAAACATGGCGAAAGGACAACCGACGGTACCAGTTACGCCTGCCAAGTCTGGCGGGGCTCGCAACGAGAGTTCAAGCCCGGCTGCGCGCTTTGCAGCCGCCACCGAGCTTTCAGTGAGCTTCGACGACGAAGCGGACATCGGTCCTGACGCCCACGATTATAAAGATTGCGAAGACAAGACGCCGGCTCCAGAGCCAGGCGCAGCGACGCCGGAGACGGCCACGCTATCATCGGGGCTGAGCGGGGCGACCAGGTCCCTTTCGAGGAACCTCGCCGACGAGCTCGATGATGTTGCGGGACCGGAACCCGCCTACGAAGATTATGACGATAGGACCGAGGGCTCTAAACCTTCGGTGGCGAATGCAAAGCATTCAGCATTGCTGAAAGCACCTCGCCCACCTATCAACGGTGATACACCAGCCGCCAAGCGCGTTTTCGACCGCGTACAAGCGCTGATGCAGAATGATGAGTGGATGCAGCTGTTCAAGCCCATCCCCAAGAAAAAAGCCGACTGGCCTGCGCTTGCGCAGGAACTTCAATACCCAGTCAACTTGGTTTCGACTAGCGAAGTTGCCGAGGATTCAGTTTCGCTACTGTTGTCGCTAGGCTTCGAGAACGAGACGTACCCATCGACGATGTCGCTCCAAGATTGGAGTCCACATGAAGCCGGAGCTGCTCTCCAGAAATGGAAGAAGAAGCTTCGGAAGGCGTTTGGCGCTGTTGGCATTAACGCCGGAAAGCAGCCGGTGAGTCGGCCGATGATTCAAGATGAAGATCCGTCCACGATTCCACTACCGCCGACACCCCAACGACTCGTTCGTACTCCTCCGACCAAGCGTGGAGCTGAGCGTGGTGCCTTTGGTACTACTGAAGCTTCACCGTACTTTCAAGACTAGCACATGGTTACGCCACGTTCGGAGAGCCGTATGTAGCGTGTTTACGCAGGCAACGACGGTTCGTTCGGTCGCCGAGGTGGTCCGTGGGCTCCCAAAGGTGGCGCCGGACGTCGTCACGTCGACAGCGATGGTTCGTCCAGTGACGATGACATTTTGGTACGTACATTCGACAAGGAAGATCCTCAAGTCGAGTTGATGCGTCAGATGAATGAGCTGGCGACGCTGAACGACGTGGACCCGACACCGAGGATTGAAATGGCGTCACACCGACCATTGGATCGCATCACGCCGTTCTCAGGCTCTCGCAACAAGAGCGAGAGCTGTATGCAGTGGCTCCGTGGGTTCGTCTATGAAATGACTGGAACCCACACAGATGCCGACAAATGGTGCATTCCATTTGAGCTAAGTCTCCGGGACGGAGCCATTCATTGGTTCCGTCAACTTCCGAAGAAGACGAAGCGCAAGTGGAAGCTGTTGAGAGATGCGTTCATCCGCTACTACTGCTCGCAGTTCACTCAGACGGCACTGTCGCGTTACTACTCCGCCAAGCGGGAACGAAATGAACATATGTGCGACTACATAAACAGGCTGAATGGCTACGCTCGGACCGCCCGTCTACACTTTGAGAAGAGTGGTCGTGACGCGAAAGAACACGTACAGCAGTTCCTGGCAACATGCGACGATGACAAGCTAGCGGAGAGTCTCTACCACGCTCGAGTCGCCGACATTCACGAGCTCGAAGAGTTCATTGAAGATGTTCTCAAGGGCAAGGAGAGAATGGCCAAGCGTGACAGTGAGTACCGATACTCCAAGAGTCGTGATACGCGACGCGACGATGGATACACCCGCAACAACCGGCGTGATGACCGTCGCCGCGATGACAACCGAAACAAACCAAGAGTGACGCTCATTGAAGCCACGGTGGATGACCTACTAGCTGAATTAGAAGGTCGTGAAGCTGCTCAGGGAGGCACCGAGTATTCAAACGAAGATCCGAACGCTTACAACGATGTCCAAGACGAGTACAACTACTTTCAGTCCGATAATACGGATGGTGATTTCTCATTGGATGAAAACGACCGATACCTCGCCGCTGCTAACGAAAATGAGCGCCGTGCAGCTGCTGAAGGCACCTACGCACGTTCAGACAACCGTCAACCGCGTGAAAACACGCCCGATCGCGAGAATGGCTTCAATCAAGATCGCTGAAGTGGTGACCGTGGGTTCAATCAGGACCAACACGGTCGACGTGACTTCAACCACGACAACCGACGCCCACAGTACGGGCCATGCGCGGTGATGCGATTCAGCGATGCCAATTCCGACTTGCGAGTTTCAGCCAAGATGACACAGCTGACCTTTGATTCCAGCGCTTTAGTGGCTAACGAATCCGCGGCAGCGTTGTCTTCTCGTACAACGTGAGGATATTTAACTGATCGAAGCTTGGCCGCGAGTTCTTTGTGAGTATTCAGCAGCGCTAGCAAAGAGTCATCTTCCTGCATGCGATCACCCTTAGTGATTGTTGAATCGCGAGCCTTGTCACCAACGATGACTAAATCCTCGGCGCCGTGCGCAATAGCAGCCTTGACACCGTTTATCATACCTGTATGCTCTGCTTCAGTCACCGTGATGGCCGAGAGGTAAGCGTTTGCAGCAATCACTATCTTCCACTCAGGAAGGCTCCACAGCACCCATGAACGACTCCCGTAGCCACCGTACTTCTCTGTCTTCGCTGATCCGTCAAAGGACATGACAAATCCGCTGTAATTACGGGGAAGCCTGGCGTACAGCAACGCGGGGTCCATTCGAATAGTCGGGGAACCCTTGTTTGGAGGTGCCACCGGCGCGAGCAATCACTCATAGCGAACGGCGTAATGGTGGTTTCGATTTAAAAATTACACCATTCTCTGCGCAATTGCTTACTAGCCCGGCTATCTAATCTAATACATGTACTGCAGTACTTCTTTTATCAGCGAAATACCAAATGTGGATTCCTTGCCCCCCAAATGACACTTGTCTCTTTGGGCAGATTTTATACAATTAAGGGTGACACCCCTCCGGGAGATGTGCAAAAACGGGAGCATGTCCGAGAGACACATGCTCCCGTTTTTCACCCGAGACTCGGGTGTATGCATACGACACGAAAGTGCATGGCAATCCCGCGTACGACGTATTATGTGTCGACCATCGTAAAGCTTGACCCTCAATAGTAACGCCCACGCGTGGAATGAGCCACTACCAGCAACAGATTCACCCTGAATCAAGTTATGGGTCTTCGGATCTGTGTACTGCCGTTGCATTGCACAGCTTGAAGAAAGGTTACGTTATCGAATGAATATGTAACAATAGGATCCATGAAAATCGCCGTATCAGGAAAGTGCATGACAGGAGTTGCTTCGTGGTAAGTACTTGGCGAGGCAATGCAAGGAACGGATATTACATGGAGGGTACCCTCCATGCAAATTGGCATGTTCGCCAAATCATCTGTCTTGAACTTAATATTGCTCGGTACGTCGTAAGCCAACACTGACGACCGACATAAGATATTATCAGAAATCATAGCAGCAACTCGTCTTGCCATGCACTTTCATGTCGTATGCTTACATCCAAGGATTGATAGTAGAATGGTTTTCCTTGAAAGTAATACAGTAGTATAATATATGTGAATATACTCTCATTTTCATAACCAATTCTAATAAAAAAGTAGTATTAATATTTAAAAGCACTACTCATAGTAGTAAAAGGTGGTACATGTAATACATTCGATTGGAGATAAAGGACACGTCTGTGCATTCAACCCAGACGAGCTCTGAGAAGCAGTGATCACTATCGTTAGCATGTCGCTCAGCCAGGGCAATCGCACTGTAGACACCGTGGCTGCGTAACCGGCGAGCATCACGGCCGCAGACAACGCAACGGTCGGTCGTCGTCAACTCACACTTAATGAGGTCGTCGACGAGCTTATTGGGACTGGAAATTGGAAGTGAAAGCAAAGCACGCTGCTACATTCAAATCCTAGATTGTAGTCCAATAGAAGTCACATATGAAAATTTTGTCCAATCGTGAGCCAATAGACCAATATTAGTATTATATTCGGCTTCTTTTCAAACTAATACAGCTTTTAATAATATTACAAACTTATTCAAGAGGTATTAGTGCTTGAGCCATTACTCAAGTGATATATAATATCAATCCCCCCTACCGCAGTTATCACTGATAATTTATCAGAGAGCCGGTTTTGCACATCTCCCGGAGGGGGGTCAGCCTTAATTGGTGAAAATCTGCCCAAAGAGACGGGTGTCACTTAGGGGGCGATGACATTTCGCTGATTAACGAATTAGATAGTAATAAGCAATTGCGCAGAGATGGTGTAATTTTAAAATCGAAACCACCTTACACCGTTCGCTATGAGTGATTGAGTTTATGATTGACAGGGGGACGCTCATTTCCTGCACCCGCTGTATATGTGAATCACAGTGCATAGCTCTTGTGCGTGCTAAGACAAAATGAAGCTCGTGTTGGAGTAGTCCTCCAGCAGCGGGTTGTACCTGACAACCCCGAAGAAGCATTCGTCAGCTATGGCACACTACTTGTAACATTTTCGAGAGGCAAGCACACGACCACGTACCGCGTGATTGTCTTGGTCTTCTGGACATCAGCAAACTCCTTCAGAAAGTCGGAAGACTTGACGACCGAAACCTGCGGACAAGGAAACCCAAACTCCGTCAGCTTTTGAATCTGGGTCATCTTAGCCACGGTCGACTGTACCTCGTCAGTCTGACGCTCGAGCGCAGAGCAATACGCTTTCTTGAGTCGACTAAAGTCGGTGGCAAAGAAGATGTCGGCGATTCCGCCTTGCACCAGGTATGTATCGTGGTCCTTCGTCTCACCTGCAGACAGAGGAGAAGACAGTTAACTATCATACGAGTCAACACAGATCGGTCTTAATACCTGTGAGTTTTGACGCGACGAGGGGGGCATTTCCCGCAAAAAGCGCTCCAGACGATGTTGCCGTGCTGCTAAGCGGGTGTTCAATAGCTTTGACCGGGGAGTTCTCATCCAGATTCGGGGCTGGGAGCGAGTCAAAGTCAGCGGCAATGAGATGGTGCTTGGGGAAGGCAGTGCGGAGCGTGTTCAGTAGCTGCATGGCACCCGTCGGGATGAAAGCAGAGCTCAGCGCAGGGGCGTCTTTGCCCAACATGCGCCGCACGCGCTGCGCCAGACTGAAGTTGTTCTTGTACGACACGCGCAGCGGCAGCTCGCAGCCGAAGTAGCGGAGTGTCTGGCGGATCAGCATATCCTTGACCGGACGCATAGCTTCCTCCAGCAATGGGCCGGCATTCGCTTCGCTCCCCATCTTGACGATCGTCTCGTACCACTTGCCGTTCTGTACCGTGACCTTGTCGTGAGGCAGGTTGTCCAGCACTTCGAGTGCCAGGAAAAAGCACTGCGAGTTGACAGGAGCATGTGTATCTGCGAAGGTTAGGATATCTTGGTTGACGACCGAGCACTGCTCTGGGTGCACAACAGCCACACGGTTCCGCTGCCTCTCGGCCATCACAGGGCTGATCTCGATTAGCGTGTACTTGGTCTTAGCGTACACGTCTGGTGCCTGCTCCTTCAAATAGTTAAGAATGTGCAGTGCATTGGACCCAGAACCACCGCCGATTTCGAAGATCTCGAGCTCCTGGCGGAAGAAGGGAGAGTTAAGCATGTAGCGTGCCAGTGCCTGCGAGTAATATGGCGCGAACACCTCCACGGGCGTGAGCCAGGCCTCGGGACTCTCCTTGTACAACTCGGCTACCATGTTATGATACTCACCGGCACCCCATAGATTGCCGAAGTCGATGCTCTCCGTAGGCACATGCAGCACATTACGCTCCTGTGTTGTGAAATATCCTGCCTCCTTCGCGTACAGAGACGCATAGATGAATTCCCTTGTCAGCACTACATTGGTATCACCAGCATTGATAAAAGAAGATAACGAAAAGGCCCGTGTCGCCAGTGCTGGTCGCAACAATGCGCTTCGGCGAGTAGAGTATAAGCCCGGCATCATCACTCAAAAATGCAGCTTTAAAAACATAAATCAATATTATTTTGAGGTGCAGGAGTGCCAATTAAGTTTCGCACGTAACCGAAACTGTGACATCTTTTGTAAACTACCATCGAAAAAAATTGTAAAAGTACCCTTATTCAATGGCTTTTAACAAGGGCTTTTAAATAACACTTGAGTCTCTAAAATTGAATTGACTTGAGAAAACATAAGATGCATGGCGACGTTTTCGTTCCCTCATCCGATTGGTTAAAAAGATTGAAAACGAAGCTGTACTTCATTCTTGCTTTTGACAGACAAGAAGGAGGCTACATGTACTCCGGTGCCGTCGTTCTCCGTGGATACAACGACTCTATCGAATGCAGCACAGGTGTAACTGTGTTGCTCTGGTTCTCGTTAACCTCTCTAGCAGCATTATTACTGACGTTTGGTTCTGTATGCACAGAAAGCGTGGTTCGTTCGGAGTCGCTGGTGGAGGCGGCCTTTTGGCGCTTGCGGGGCCTGAACGGACGGCTGCGTGGAGAATCTTGTGCGCGGTTGTTCTCTCTGATTAGCCGCAATACGGTGGTAAGTTTTAGTTGACCATCTCTACGCTTTCGTTTGCTCGGCTTTAATTTCAATGTTGCGTAGCCTTTGTTGAACAGCTTGATGGCGTGTTTCTCGTCGGTGATTGCTGGCATTGGTGCGGAAAGTTCTTCTTCAATTCCATTGATGATGTATCGCATCATAACGGACCATTCTGACAGGGCTGCTTTCTTTTTTTGTGAGTCCAGGTCTTCCGTCGGAATATTTATGTACGGAGGATAGTGGAGCTTTTTTGTGTTACCGAACCACCACAGCAGCCAGGCTCCAAGAGGGTCGATACTCGGAAAATTAAAATCTTTGGGCAACACACGAAATTTACCACCCCATGTGTGGTAGTGACGCACAGGACTTGGGAGTGGGGTAGTGTCCGTAATTTCCGGCGAAGCCCAACTTCGTCAAGCAACGCTCTGATTTCCTCACGCAGCAGGTCCCTCGTAATATTGCCAGCCGCTACTCCCTTTTTTCAAGAACGTGCTCCATTCTGTCTTCAAGCTTTCAAGGGAGGTCGTCAATAGATTGCTGCTGCCGGTCCAGCTTCTTATACAGTTGAATGTACGGCGGGATTCCAGATGGTTGCATCGAGCTCGATTCTCTAATTTCAAGCATGCCTTTAAGCTCGTCAAGAACGCCTGGATTGACGAATATGTGAGTTGATAGTAAGGGGTGATTCAATGGTAAATGCTGTCGCAAATATTCTGCGTGATAAACAAGAGAAGCGAGACTCAGTCGCAATACTCCCGATAAATTTAAATCCTCTGCAAGACCCGGGAACATTATTTGCACATTTGACGTCACAATACTTTTTACACTGCGAAAATGAGGGGGCAATAAAGCAAAACGTGAGTCATTCGCTGGAAGACCAGCCACCACACGCCCCAAAAACTGATCTCCGGCGGCTTCGTAGCGAAAGTATCGATCCTGGACCCCGCCAATAGTCCAACCACAGCGAAGACAGACACTCACAATCGATGGACCGCCTGTACTTCCTCCACATGCAAATGTAGCGACACCTTTCCGCACTGAGTGAGTTCCATAAGTTTTAGCAGACTCTTCAAGTTTTAGGAGCTGTGTCAAAACTTTACCAAATCGCAGTTTCTGGTTGGAGCCTGGAAACAGAGCTCCGGGTTGAAGACGTGGGTGGCAAGCGAGATAAATTCCCAACGCAGTTACCCAGCATGTTGCCGGACTTAATGAGTTTGAATAGACGTGACGAGGGTCTCGGGGCCCAGAACCGTCTTGATTTGTCTTGGTCTTGACAAATATGACCCCAACGCTATCGTCCCTTTCCAATAGGTGTTGTGTCTGGATAGTTTGAACAGACATTGATCTACACATCAAATTCCACTGCGATGTCAAAAACAGGTGAGAGAAGCCGCCATCATTGACCTCGAGTGTCGCTTTGCACAGCGTCTTATACAGATAATAGGTTAGAGCCTGTTTTCCAGAATTCTTTGGGTTGGTGGTCTGATCATTGTCGGCCTCAATTCGTTTCATGCCGGAAAAAAGCTGCTTTAAGTCATCGCCATATTCCGCAGGTGGTTTGAAGCGTTTTGCGCGATACATGTCTTTAATTGCGCTCCGGTACCCACTCAGTGTCCCAGTCTTCACAGAGCTGCTCTTGTGCACCAGAAACTTCTCGAAAAGATTTGGTGTGAACTCCAATAAATTAAGCTCGCCTTCGTGATCAAACAATCTGCTGGTGTTACTGTCCTCTTTGGCAAGTTCATTTTGGATCCACTTTTTTATCCCTTTGATGCTGCTCCTGTACTTATCTCTTGTTTGGGTAGATACACATGCGTCTCGTATTGCCTTGACGTCACTCCTGGTCGTGGGCCGAGCCCCAGTGCCCCCAAGTTGCGCGATTCCGTCACTCATTCTGACTTCTTCAGTTTGATCTGCGCTCAGCCAATAAGGTGGCGTTGCTGTCGTCGGCGATCGTCTCCGACGAAATGGAAGAAAGACTGAATGGCAGCCTCTTTGATAATGAAACCAAGTCAAACATCTTATCAGGATTACTTCGTTACCGAGAAAAAATCAGTCTCTGCCGCCGACGATTTCTCGTAAAAACCTATATATTACTTATCAAAGTGAAGGAATGAATTGACTTGAGAAAACATAAGATGCATGGCGGCGTTTTCGTTCCCTCATCCGATTGGTTAAAAAGATTGAAAACGAAGCTGTACTTCATTCTTGCTTTTGACAGACAAGAAGGAGGCTACATGTACTCCGGTGCCGTCGTTCTCCGTGGATACAACGACTCTATCGAATGCAGCACAGGTGTAACTGTGATGCTCTGGTTCTCGTTAACCTCTCTAGCAGCGTTATTACTGACGTTTGGTTCTGTATGCACAGAAAGCGTGGTTCGTTCGGAGTCGCTGGTGGAGACGGCCTTTTGGCGCTTGCGGGGCCTGAACGGACGGCTGCGTGGAGAATCTTGTGCGCGGTTGTTCTCTCTGATTAGCCGCAATACGGTGGTAAGTTTTAGTTGACCATCTATACGCTTTCGTTTGCTCGGCTTTAATTTCAATGTTGCGTAGCCTTTGTTGAACAGCTTGATGGCGTGTTTCTCGTCGGTGATTGCTGGCATTGGTGCGGAAAGTTCTTCTTCAATTCCATTGATGATGTATCGCATCATAACGGACCATTCTGACAGGGTTGCTTTCTTTTTTTGTGAGTCCAGGTCTTCCGTCGGAATATTTATGTACGGAGGATAGTGGAGCTTTTTTGTGTTACCGAACCACCACAGCAGCCAGGCTCCAAGAGGGTCGATACTCGGAAAATTAAAATCTTTGGGCAACACACGAAATTTACCACCCCATGTGTGGTAGTGACGCACAGGAGTTGGGAGTGGGGTAGTGTCCGTAATTTCCGGCGAAGCCCAACTTCGTCAAGCAACGCTCTGATTTCCTCACGCAGCAGGTCCCTCGTAATATTGCCAGCCGCTACCCCCTTTTTTTCAAGAACGTGCTCCATTCTGTCTTCAAGCTTTCAAGGGAGGTCGTCAATAGATTGCTGCTGCCGGTCCAGCTTCTTATACAGTTGAATGTACGGCGGGATTCCAGATGGTTGCATCGAGCTCGATTCTCTAATTTCAAGCATGCCTTTAAGCTCGTCAAGAACGCCTGGATTGACGAATATGTGAGTTGATAGTAAGGGGTGATTCAATGGTAAATGCTGTCGCAAATATTCTGCGTGATAAACAAGAGAAGCGAGACTCAGTCGCAATACTCCCGATAAATTTAAATCCTCTGCAAGACCCGGGAACATTATTTGCACATTTGACGTCACAATACTTTTTACACTGCGAAAATGAGGGGGCAATAAAGCAAAACGTGAGTCATTCGCTGGAAGACCAGCCACCACACGCCCCAAAAACTGATCTCCGGCGGCTTCGTAGCGAAAGTATCGATCCTGGACCCCGCCAATAGTCCAACCACAGCGAAGACAGACACTCACAATCGATGGACCGCCTGTACTTCCTCCACATGCAAATGTAGCGACACCTTTCCGCACTGAGTGAGTTCCATAAGTTTTAGCAGACTCTTCAAGTTTTAGGAGCTGTGTCAAAACTTTACCAAATCGCAGTTTCTGGTTGGAGCCTGGAAACAGAGCTCCGGGTTGAAGACGTGGGTGGCAAGCGAGATAAATTCCCAACGCAGTTACCCAGCATGTTGCCGGATTAATGAGTTTGAATAGACGTGACGAGGGTCTCGGGGCCCAGAACCGTCTTGATTTGTCTTGGTCTTGACAAATATGACCCCAACGCTATCGTCCCTTTCCAATAGGTGTTGTGTCTGGATAGTTTGAACAGACATTGATCTACACATCAAATTCCACTGCGATGTCAAAAACAGGTGAGAGAAGCCGCCATCATTGACCTCGAGTGTCGCTTTGCACAGCGTCTTATACAGATAATAGGTTAGAGCCTGTTTTCCAGAATTCTTTGGGTTGGTGGTCTGATCATTGTCGGCCTCAATTCGTTTCATGCCGGAAAAAAGCTGCTTTAAGTCATCGCCATATTCCGCAGGTGGTTTGAAGCGTTTTGCGCGATACATGTCTTTAATTGCGCTCCGGTACCCACTCAGTGTCCCAGTCTTCACAGAGCTGCTCTTGTGCACCAGAAACTTCTCGAAAAGATTTGGTGTGAACTCCAATAAATTAAGCTCGCCTTCGTGATCAAACAATCTGCTGGTGTTACTGTCCTCTTTGGCAAGTTCATTTTGGATCCACTTTCTTATCCCTTTGATGCTGCTCCTGTACTTATCTCTTGTTTGGGTAGATACACATGCGTCTCGTATTGCCTTGACGTCACTCCTGGTCGTGGGCCGAGCCCCAGTGCCCCCAAGTTGCGCGATTCCGTCACTCATTCTGACTTCTTCAGTTTGATCTGCGCTCAGCCAATAAGGTGGCGTTGCTGTCGTCGGCGA